TAAAGGCTTGAGGTGAGAAATTTGTATATTACAGGAAATAGCAAAAGGCCAGTGTGGCCGGGACATAAAGAACAAAGAAGTAAATGGAAAGACAGGAGTGAAGGCAAGGGACCAGAACATATAGGACCTTGAGAGCCCAGGGAATGAGTTCTTTTATTTTGCGTATGATGTAAGCCACGGAAGGTTTTTAAGCCAGGCACTAACACAATGATTATTTAGATCTTTTAAAGATTACTCTGGATTCTCTGAGAAAAAGAGATTAGAAGTGAGGAAATATGGAAAGAGAGAAACCTGCCAAGAGGCTCCTAGAATGGTACATATAACGGAGGATGGGGGGCTGGAATAAGGTCATGATAACAAAAATAGAGTTTTCAGAGATATCTGCAGATAGAATCAAAATAACTGGTGATGGACTGAATGTGGGAAAGGTGGGCGTTCCCAGGATCACTCCCAGATTTCTGGCATGAACAACTGAATACCAGAAATACTATTTATTGAAATAGGAAAATTATGAGCAAAAGCAGCTAGGAGCAAGCACTAAGGAATTATGCTAAATCTAAGACACTAGGAGACACCCAAAAGATAGTAAAACATCTAAATGCCCACATCAAGAATCCTGAAAAGATGGTTCCAAATTTCTAAGGTGGGAGGAGATGAGATGGTGCCCATGCATGGGTGTTGACCTGTCACAGGAGGAGGGATCTGTCCCTCCCGTGTAATAACAAGTAAGAACACAAGTACTGTATCAATACAAATGAGTGTGAAGATCTCATGAAGAGAGGCTGGGGAGTTGCTACCTGATGGTTATTTTTTCCATGAAATACAAGGCAAGATCACTTACAAGAGAGGTTGAGCATGGGAAAAAGTTTGAATAGTGAGGAGAATGAAGGAAAATATCATTACGAACCGTGAGCAGAGCACTTCCTAGAGAAACACGAACATTACTAGGCAGGGCTACAGGCCATTTGAAGTAACTGAGCAGCAGTTTGGGAAGACATCCATCTGCCTTGCTGTGCGATTTTCTCTAGCAATGCAGGGAGTGAGTGAGCAGTTAGGTTTAACCAAGGTAAGAGTATTTCCAGGACATGTGAACATATCAGCATAGTATTGATGTGGTGTGCACAGCACAGGCAAGTTGCACAGGTGAGGGAGCTGACTGGGTAAAAGAGATTTCTGGAAGGGGATAAAGCAGAGCCCGAAATAGGGCATACGAGTTCTCCAGGCAAAGAGTAAGGATACACTTGATCTTAGCCAAAAGGCCAAGAAGCGATGGCAAAGAGTAAGGATAAAGGGGAGAGGAAAACAGCAATTTCAGAGCATACACCTGCAAGCAATTCAGTGTCACTAACGCAGCTGAAAATCAGCAGAGGAGGCTGAAGAGATCCAATGGGCCCCAGGAGCCATCAGAATAGGATCTAGGAAATGTTCAGTAAATGCTAGATACAGGCATTAATAACACAGACACAGAGAGGCCTTTTAAAATGTAAGTCCTAAAAGTTCATCGTGTGGCATAAACACCCTCCTTTACAAAAGGGGGCCCACAAAGACTACACACAAGTAATTTTAGGTCATTAGATGGGTCCTTCACTTGGATAATTAACGTGATGCAGCATGTGTCTGACTCCCAAGGTCTAACTCTTTTTCCCAAGGAAAACAGCATGAGAGATTTCTTACTGTTTGCAAGTTAACAAGCAAATTTCCAGAATAAGAAAGGAGTTGTTGTCTTATCACTATGTCCAACTCTTTCATAAAACTTTTTTGATTAAAAAAACCTTAATTTAAAATCCATTACCAATTTTTTCTTTTAAAATCTGGTTATGTACCTTCTGAACTGAGCCTTAAGCATTCTATTCAATAAACAAAACAAGAGGAGCTACTCAACGTTTCAGTAAGGCACTGGTGGTTGAGCAAGAAGGACTGTTTTCTTCTTTCTCTCAAAATAGACTAGACACTCCAT